GCGAGGCAACACTGGCACAAGCTTCCCATGACCCTGGCAGCCAGCCCAGGGCTCTCTCCAGCGCCCCCCTCAATCTTCCACCAACTCAATCAGATGCCGGTGGCTCTGCATTCATGGGGAGGAGGATCAAAGGAAAGAACTGCTGCTGTCGGCAGAAATGCTGTAATGGAAACCATTTCACAGGCTGGGGAGGCAAAAGCCTTCCCGCCTCAACACATTTTAGCTCCAGGCAGAGTATGACTCACTCAAGGCACTTGGGTGTGTCCCTTCCACAAAACCTGAGTACCCAGGACTGAGTCCCAAGAGAAAAGCCGAAGGAGTCAGGAGTCTCCTTGACTCCCGAAACAGGAAAAGGAAATCCCTCCAGTGAGCCTCTGTAGCCTCCAGGGGAGCAGAGATGTGAAACGCTGGAATATTTCTCATCCTATCATTTCAGTTATGAGAAAATAATAGCTCTGGCGGTGGAGTGTTTGAAGTTGTAGGAAAAGAGTGATCTTTTTTTTAGGCAAACTAATTTACATTCAAATTTCACTTCCATCTCTTACAAGCTGAATACATATTTATTTAAGCAATCTTCAGTTAGTTTATTCATAGAATGAACATAATGAAGACCTACCTTGCAGAGTCACAGCAAGGGCTGACCGAAACAAAGCATGAAGTTTCTAGCAGGGAAAAGGCAGAGTGCTTCACTAAGGCTGAATTCATCTCCTCTTGATTATTTTGGTTAAACCAAAGCCAAATACAACTACTTAGAGGGTATAATAAGCTAAACGATGCCTTAATTCCAACTCAAAGATGCTGCCTCATATGGCGAAAGGAAGTTTGCAGATGTGATTCAGTTAAAGATCTTGAGATGAAGATACAATCACAAGGGTCTTTGTGAAAGGGAGACAAGAGGTTAGAAGTCAGGAAAGAAGTTGACAAATACTACCCTGCTGGCTTTGATAACGAAGGAACAGCCATGAGCCAAGGAGTATAGGCAATCACCAGAATCCGGAAAATACAAGGAAGGGACTCTCCTGCAGATCCTTCTAAAGGAATATGTTTGTAGATGCCTCGACTTTAGCCTCGTGATACTAATTCTGGACTTCTGATCTCCAAAACTGTAAGATGATAGATTTGTGCCTTCTTAACCTACTATATCTGTGCAAACGTATTACATCAGTAACTGCAAACCAATACAGAGGTATATATCACACACAAAACATTCAACCCAATATTCACGGTCTGCCTAAACCACAGGATAAGACATATATTGTCCAATGTGCAGGGTGCAACATCCTGTGAATATATACGGGGTCACAGTTCATCAGTGGGTAAATGATGGCAGTTCCTAACCACCCACCACAACCACCATCAAATCCAGATACCCCTTTCTACCAGCCCATCTCTCTAACAGTATCATCATTCTGTGGCCATGAGACTTGATCTGGCCAACAAGATAGGACATTAACAATTTCTCTACAAATGCTTTGAGAGCCATGGCATGCCTCCCCTGTCTCCTCTTCTGACACAGAATGGCACATCCTATATTGAGGCTTCTCTATCAGACTTTATGCCAGGATAAAAGAGAGAATAGAATTATGGGCAAAAAACAGTAGATATGAATTTGAATGAGAAATAATACCAGGGGACTTTCAAAAAAATCTGAGAAATGGAATAAAATAAGTTGATTTTGATGCAAAAAAAAATTTAACAACTTCCTAAAAATGTGATGACAACCATGATAAATAAAAAAAATGAAATGCATCTATACAAATAACTTACAAAGTTCATTTAAAAAAGTGATCTCCTAAAAGTTAAATGTATAATGGTAGGTACCATAGGGTGAGGAAAAAGGGGGTAGGGAAATGTTGATGAATGGATATTAAGTTATAGTTAGATAGAAGTCAGAAGTAGATAATGCTAATATGGTATGTATGTCTCTGTTTTATTTTCTTTTAAGTGTTTAGAAGCTAGATTTATTAGTCAGAGATCTGCGGCCAGAGTGGCCTGGAAGGGAGGCTCCGAGAGGCAAAACCCAAAGAGGCTGCTGGTAGGGGGGTTTTTGAGCACAATTTTGAGGAAGAAAAAACTTATCGGCTTGACATTTAGTTACAAGGGGGGACAAAACCCATCAAAAGACCTGATTTTCAATCTTTTATCCTGTCTAGCTTGCTCATGATAAAACATAAAGAGCCACAGAAGGGTGGGATATCTAATTTTCTTTGTTAGATGTTTGAGATAGATGCATTTACCTCCATTGTACATTATATAATGTGTATACATACATATATATCAAAATATCATAGTTCTCATAAATAGCCATAATTTTATGTGATACTTTGATACTTTTTATATTTTTTAAAAAATTAATGAAATGTATATTATGAAAAAACTGCCATGGATTTCAAAAACTTCTGCAACAATATAAACTTTAATATTCCACTTTCCATGAACTTTTTGAAGTCCTTTCATTTATTTGTTGTTTGGAGCCAATAAGAGTTTAGAATCACAGCTGCCATAGCCTAACTTGCCCTACACTTATACATGGAGTCCTTCCCCATCATACCCACTTACAATAGCCAGCAACTTTCCCTTCCCTGGGTCTCTATCCTTCCATGAGTCCATTCTTTCAATGAGTCTTGACTGGGCACCAGGCCCTGTTGTATCTGTAATAATGAATAAGACATGCCTAATGGGGGAGCCAGACATGTCAAAAAATAATTGGAATGGAAAGTGGTGAGTGCAATGTTAGCAGAATGTACAAAGTGCCAAGAAGGCCCAAGGGAGGGGAGATTATTCAGACCAGCTGAGGGGAATGGGAAAAGAACCAGAAAATCTCTGCAGGAGCCCTTCACTCCAGGGGGCTCCCACAAAATGTGGCTGACTCACTAGGTATATCTTGTTATTGTCCTCTCTCTGGAACACAGACACAATGGAAAAGGCAACCAAGACTTTGGCTGGATTGCCCAACACATTCAAGATACATGCAAAATTCTAGGAAATGCCACAGGCATGCAGAAGAAGGGGGGCATATTTTATCCTGAGTCTGCATTTGCTGGGAGGAGGTTGGATTTCAGCCAAGTAGTGAAAGGTAAGTTGAATTCTTCCCGGGGAAGGTTGGAGGCAGGTCATTTCAGTAGAAGGAAAAGAATGTACAAGGAATTGAAAGTAAGAGAATAAGCTCTATTTCAGAGACTGTGTAAAGCAGGGAGGCAGGAGAAGTCTACAAGGGAAGCAGGGGAAACAGACAGGAAAAGAGACCTCAGGGCCAGATCCTACATGCAAGACTAAAGCCTAACACAACACCGCTTAGGTGGCAGGAGCTGTTGACAGCTTCTGAAAACAGGCAATGGCGTGGAAGAAAAGGCATTTTAGGGTAATGGGAAGATGATCTTGTCATCATGCAGGCAAGGATCCAAGAGCCAACTGAACATGAAGCAACTGATAAGGAGGCTATTCAGTGTCCTAGACAAGGTTCAAGCAGTTCTGACCAAGTGTTCCCGGGGAGTGGAAGGAATAGAAGGAAGAAGGTCATGAAGAAGGATCCACAATGAATCATGTAGGGGTCCTGGGAGCAGCTTGAGCAGTCATGGAAGTAGGTTCCAAAGAGATACCAGAGTTGAGTCTTAAATAATGAACAAAATTCACATACACAAAGGGAGAGAGGAGGGTCACATAGGGAAGTGTTATTTTTCAAGATGAGGACACCAACTCGATTAAACAGAAGTTTTTCACAGTGTTAAAACTGAAGATGATGTCACAAAATAAAAGCAGCAGTTTTATTTAACAGGTAGGGCTACTGTGCCTTCCTGCCTTCAGTCCTCTTAAGAACCCTACAAGTTCTACACAATCAACCCATTTTATGAGGCAGAAAAGGAGACCAAGGGAATTGTATGCAGATCAGCTACAAAATAATGGGACCCAGTGCAAAATGAAAGTGTGAGGTTTCTTGTTCAAAATTTATTAAGGATTTCAAGACAGTGGTGACAGAGTATTAAGCCAAGGACAAAGCTTTTGTGAAGACCAGGCAGTGTGTGGCTACACAGATCCCAGGCCCATGAAGTTAGCCCTGGTCGATGACATGCCTAGGCTCAGAAAGTAAGGAAGGGCCAGAGCTGGAAGTCAAATCGCTCTTGCAGCAGGTGGGAAAGCATGGCAGTTATGGGTATTCCTGCAGCCTTGATCTTTGAGCACCACAAGAATGCAATGCTTTGATGTCACATGAGTGTGACATAAATGTTTGTTGTTTTAAGCCACTGAAATGTTGGGGGTGTTCATTACTGAAGCACAGCCAGCCCCGTGCTGACTCACACAGTAAGGCTCAGAAAACCTCCACAACACTAAGATTGCAGAGGTAAGTCCTTAGGCTCAACATGCAAACCCATGCTCTTTCCTCAACATCCATGTTTTCCCACTGCAGGTCACACCCCGTTAGGGGTTCTTGAAGCTGCTGCATTTAGTCATCCACTGATTTTTTGAAAATAAAAATAATGTAACTGTAGCCAGCATTATGGCACAGTGGGTAAAGCCACTGCCTACAGCACCAGCATCCCTTATGGTCTCTGATTCAAGTTTCACCTGCTCCATTTCTGATCTAGCTCCCTGCTAATTGCCTTGGAAAAGTTGTGGAAGGTGGACCAAAGTGTTTGGGCTCCTGCCACCCATGTGAGAGACCCAGAAGAAACTTCGGGTTCCTGGCTTTGGCCTGGTCTAGCCCTGGCCAATGTCACCATTTGGCAGAGTGAACTGGCAAATGGAAACTCACTATCTCACATTCTCTGTGTAACTCTGCCTTTCAGATAAATAAATATTTAAAAATTATATGAAATAAGTAAAAATAATTTAACAAATAAAATACATGAAATATTCATTAATGTTATTTATTATATTTTTCATAAAATTGTTCTCAGTGCATACATGTGTTTGAGTCACAATATACAATGTACTTCTGAGTATGGGTCATTGTTAAAAAATGTTAAAAGCCACTGCTCTGCATCAGACTTTCAGCACAAGAAAGGAAAATAAGTCTACACACGTCACCCCAGTGGTTTGGATGTTCATAACTCCTTTTTAAATTAGCTAAACAGGAGGAAACTTGGATCCTTGTTGCCAACGTGGTTAATGCCCTGGATTTTTAGTTTCCCAGATAAGAGGCATTCCAGATTTTACCCAACATGAAGTTCTAACTTTATAATCTGCCCATTTCACTTCATTCATTTCTTACTTCCCACGCCCCAGCTCTTACTCTGCCTTAAAGAAGTATGAGGTCATCGCATCGGATACAGGGAACAAATCTTCATTGTATCTTCACACAAACTGACAAATTCTGGGGGCAGATGTGCCCACTGGGGCAATGACAAAAAAGTGAGTGAAAAGCCACTATGTCACCAGGCCTAGCGCCAGCTCTCTTCCTTTCTTGGATCCCAAGACAAGCTGAGCCCCTCAGAGGTGAGTCATCGAGGAGTCCCAGGCTTTGTCCATGGAGGGAGACCCATTATTCAGGAAAATCTGTGGCTGCTTTGCTCTGCCAGAAGCCTGCTCCTTTTACCATGGAGACCAAACCCCACCACCCATGATTATAACAAAAAAGAACCAAAAATAACTTTTTTTTCCAATTGCTTTGTGAAAACTGCCAGATGTGAGCAGTAGTGACTGTGCAGCATGCACATTTGGGCTTTGTGTACGGATGTTTGCTCTCAGTGTCTCCTATTACCCAGCAAATTGAGGCAGGAAGGACCATATCAACCAGTTCCATAAAGGCTAGACTTCCACCCCACCTTTCTTCCACAGTGTTGACTTCTGGGACTTGGGAGATGTGAGGAACATCACCCACCACTTGTCTCTGTGCAGCAGCAGCCCTCCCCTGATGTAGCTGCATCAAGCTAGTGGACTTCCAATTCCAGAATCTTTTGAGTATCTCCATTTCTCCCTGCATTTCTAGATCACTCTCACCTCTGACAAGGACAGCTCCATAACCTCCTCATGGTCTCCAAATCTGATGAGCCACTTTCTTGCTTGAAATCCTGCAGAACCTTAATGGCTCTCTCCAGGGTAAAGACCACATCTTAACAAGACCAGGAAGGCTCTAAGGGGTAGGGATGGGTTGGGAGTCTCTTCCTTCCTACTCTCAGGGCTCATCTCAGGCTATTCTCCTTGCCCTCTCTAGCTCACACTGTCCTTCCTGAAGTTTCTGGAATGTAGCAAGTTCTTACCAGCCTCAGGGCCTTTGCTTCTGCTGTTCTTGCTGAACACAATGTCTGTTCTTTCAGTGCTCCATACTGTTAAAACATTGTCTCCAGCCCATTCTCAACTGCAACATCACCTTCTCCAAACATTCCATAACTGCCCAAAAAGCCAAGTTTTTCTATATTCTCTCTTATCATCTTACCCATCTCAGTTTTGATCCCTCTTATGATATACACAATATAGTATGATGTTTTACATCTCCCTCCCCAACTATGTCCATGCCAGAGTGGGACCTGATGCACAGTAAATAAATACTTGCTGAATAAATGGTAAAGACTTTTCTGAGATTTAAATCTTGCAAAAGATTTCTTTGGCTCAAGAACTACTATTTTCCAGAGAGTAAATGACAACCTGTTTCTCCTTTTTTTCTTTGGCTCCTGGGAAACACAGCCACAGAGGAAGCTCAAATATATCAATCTCGTGAGTACATGGGATTTGCATATTTGTATTTTCTGTTTTCCTTTCTTGTAATTTTCTACATTCAGTTGCATTTTCCCAGGGCAGGTTTGGTCATCTTCATATGATACCTCTACAGAATACGAAATCATCCTGTCACAATTCTCAACAGCAAGTCACACTGAATTCTCTGAGAAAAGAGATGACAAGTGTTTATCTCTAAGTTGTCCGAAGACCTCTCCTACCGAGGTGTGGTAAGGACTGGAGCAGCTTCCACAACAGTCAAAGACCTGGGGCACATGTGGGTGCCATAGGACTTCAGCAAGTCACTCTTCAAGCCTCAGATTCATTGCCTGTGAATGAGAGGAATTCTGCTGTGCATAACACATAAGGCTGCTGGAACATTATGTGACAGTGCTTTGTAGGTTGAAAAGCACACACTTAACGATATATGACCATGATCAAGGAGGCAAGCTTTGATCAGATCACGTTTCATTTGTGTGGACTGGCTCATGGTCAGATTATCTAGTGAGTAAAGTTTTCCATCTTTGGACTCCCCTCTCAGTTCTTACTCACAAAGCTTCTTAATGCTATCAGGCTCAAAGGCCTCTGTTGGGGCACATCTGACAATGAGTCAGATACCTTCCTTCTGCTTCTTATTGTCCTCCACCAAAAACTCCCAGTGCTATGAACATTTTCTCCAAAGCCCCAAACTCTGAAGTTCTCTGAAGTTCAGCCACTGATAAATTCACCTGGTAAACTAATTAAAGCTAAAGATGATGAACAACATAGAGAAAAAGATAATTGAACAATTAATCAAAGCATTAATTTGATTGATGAAGGCTATGCTGTAGAAGGCCCAAAGAAAGGGTACCTTGGAGTACCAAGATTCCCATAGGCAGGGGATTGATGTTGAGCCCAGTAGAGCCACAGGAGTTATTGAAAAGGAAGAGAAGAAGGAAAAACAGCCTGTGAGTGAGAGAGCAGAGCATATACTGAAAATTGAAGGATGGGTGTTCACTTTGCTGTGGATTTCTATCTGCTAGCCCTGGAATGACAGGGAAATCTGGAACTTGGACATCCCCAGAGATATTGCAGGATGACAACACTCCACAAGGAGGCCACTGAAAGTGCCCTAGTGTCTCGGTTCTTTTGGCTTCTATAGCAAAAATGCCATAGACTGGGTGGGTGGTTTAAAAAACAAACCTTTATTTCTCACTCTTTGGAAGCTGGGAAGTCCAAGATCAAGGACTCCAAGTGTCTAGGTGTCTAGTGAAGACTCACTTCCTGGTCCATAGGTGGCCATTTGCTCTCTGTATCTTCACACTGAGAAAGCAGAGAACTAAATCCTCTTATGACTCTTCTAAAGGCACTAATCACATTCATTAGGACTCTACCCACACCTAATTAGGATTAGACCTTATATGATCAAAATTACTTCCTATAGGCCCCAATTGTTAATGCCTTCATATTAGGGCTTCATCCTATAAGATGGGATGAGGGTCACAAACATACTCCATAACACTGAGTCACAGAGCTGCCTCGCTGCAGAGGGAATCTTATCACATAGGAAGTATGACAGGACTTGCTGCAAGCATTGCTCTTCCAGAATCCTGTACTTGTTACTCATCTGCCATAAGAGTGACTGAAACACATCTCCCAAAAGATCACCAGCCTGGAGCAGGAAAATCCAGCCAAAAAGACAGATGATCATTCTTTCCTATAAGTCTGTGTCAATCACATTCTGGCATTTGATATGTACCAGGCAATGTGTTACGGGAAAAATAACAAAGAAGAAAGACCAAGCATTTCATTGCGAAGCGTGTATATTTAGCAAAGGCAACAGTGGAGTAAATTGCTGTTGATGAAGCAGTGAGTAGGGAAGAATTACACAGTAAGCACCAATCTGGGCACCAGAGAAGGATCCCCAGAGAATGGGCACCTGGACAGGCTCCTGTTGAATTTACAGTAGTTCCACATCACCAAGCATTGGATGACTATTGTATTATCCACATCAGCTCCTTTTTCTCTTCCAGGGCCTTCTTGGAAGATATTTTGAACACATGAGCTAGGAATCATTGCCTGTGACCCCGGGAGCACCTAGGATCCACAGCACCCATGCAATATTAACACTCCCTGTCTCTTTTTCTTCTTAAATATTCAAATAAATCAAAAATTCCTACAGCCTAAGATCTGGTCACCTATTTTTCTTTATCTCTCACAGCATTAGGAATATCCAGAGTGCTCTACAAATAGTCTTTATCTGAAGTTAATTGGTTTGCTTAGGCACTGACCTCCAAAATTTTAACAGGGAAATATTTAACAGGTTCACCTGGTTTTTATCTTTCAGTAGAAAGTCCAATCAATAGGCTTTGGTATCAATCATTGGTTTAAATTTCAGCTCTGGGGGCCATCAGTGTGGTGTAATAAGCTAAGCCTCCTCCTGTGGCTCCCATCTGGACACCGGTTCAAGTCCCAGCTGCTCCACTTCTGATCCAGCTCTCTGCTATGGCCTGGGGAAGAAGATGGCCCAAGTGCTTGGGCCCCTATACCTGCGTGGGAGACCCAGAGGAAGCTCCTGGCTCCTAGCTTCAGATTGGCCAAGCTCTGGCTGTCGCATCCATTTGGGGAGTGAGCCAGCAAATGGAAGACCTTTTTCTCTGTCTCTCCCTCTCTTTGTAACTCTACCTCTCAAATAAATAAATAAATAAAAATTTAAAAAATTCAGCCCTGCCACTCACACCCATATGACTTTGGGCAAGTTACTTGAACCCTCTAAGTCATAATTTTTTCACATTCAACCTTAGGATAATATTTTCTTCTCTTGTGAGAACTGAACATGAAAACTCAACCAGAGGATATGGAAGATGGCATGTTCTCAGCAAGTATTTATTCCTAATAATAACAGTAGCAGGATAATCCCACCAAGCATATCGAGAAGTTGTTTAAAGTATGTTACATGCATTCTACCTTTTAATACTCACATTGGCTCCATAAGACTGGACCAATCACCAGCCCCTGTAATAGGAAAGAAAATGAAAGTTCAGAGAGTTTGAGTAATGCACCCAGTATCCTGCACTGGTCTTAATAGAACTGGACTCCAAGCACGATTCTCTCTCATGTCAGAGCCCAAGTTCTAATCAGAGCCTCATTCTCTCACATGTGGTCTCCAGCTTTCCCATGGCGAGCGTCATTGAGATCATGAATAGTTTTGTGATTTACTCAAGGTTGCACCACAGATCACTGTCCATTGTGCCACACTGAGACATGCATTCTGTTAAGAGTCTCCTCACCCATTAAGCAACAGGGAAAAACAGCTCCACTCATTTTTGTAACTGGAAATGCTGTGTAATGATAACACATGGAAAATTCCAACAATGCCTGACACCAGTATTTCTCGGCTGACATTATTTTCATTAAGACCCGCAATGGAAGAAGAGCAACAAAATCCCAGCAAGTCCCATCACTCCTCCCTGAAAGTTCAGAGATATCAGAAAATATATTTGGGCTTTGCAGTTGGCCTCAGAATAAAGTGCTGCGTGATCTGGTTCTTGTCCTCACTCTGTCAAAGTACATAGTTTGCAGGTCATATCCATTAGAGCAGATGGACTCTGTCACTGCCCCCTAAGACTAATGCCAGTCTGGACCAGCTGTCAGAGTAAAAGAGTCTCAAAACTAAAGACTGGTTGACCACATGATGTGAATGAAGAGGGCTATACAATATTATCACTAAAATGGACTGAAGCTTCCCAATGTGACAGTCTCTTGATGAAGGAATTTATATTCATTCTCTCATTTACCAATCAATACTCCCATATACAAAATAAGAGATACATTTTTACATATGAAGACAAGGAGCTCTAAAAAATTGTCCAATAATTCTAAGAGTAATATGAACACTTTAGCCAATGATTCCAATTCTCTATCTTCTCAGCACATTGCATTCATTTGCTAATGTGTATAATACTCTTCTTCCCTCTTTCTAGATTTATCCTGGAAAAGTAGGAGTTGAATGAAACAAGCAGACATATTTTTGGAAAATCATTTTAGAAACTATGGCAGACACTTATACATATTTAGAGTTAGTCCTTGTAAGACTAGATAATGTCATCTCCTTTGCTCATGTAAGGACAATGACTCTCCATAGGAGTAACTGACTTCCCCAAGGACCTATCTTATAACTGAGAGTATCCAGGGGTCTTGGACCCTATGCTCATGTCTTTCTACCACCCAAGAGAGTAAAATAAAAATAAGGTTAAAAGGAAGCTAAATCAGGAATTAGAGTGATTCACTGACAGGATGATATGTTCTACAAAAATGTGGCAATATATTTTGAAAAACAGATCTCTCTGTCAAAAGGTGACACCAGAAAAAAATTAAGAATATGGCCAAAAGTAAAGATTAGAAAAAATGCTGATCTTCCTGAAGCTCCAGATTGATTTAGGTGATAAATAGGTTTATTTGAACTGGGTTTATTTGAACTGAATTTTTGATCCATTGTTTGACATTTCATCACTCATATTTATTGCTTCTTTTTTTTTTATTTGACAGGTAGAGTTATAGACAGTGAGAGAGAGAGACAGAGAGAAAGATCTTCCTTCCATTGGTTCACTACCCAAATGGCCGCCACGGCCGGCGCTACACTGATCTGAAGCCAGGAGTCAGGTGCTTCTTCCTGGTCTCCCATGCAGGTACAGGGCCCAAGCACTTAGGCCATCCTCCACTGCCCTCCCGGGCCACAGCAGACAGCTGGACTGGAAGAGGAGCACGGGGACCAGAACCTGGCACCCACATGGGATACCAGCACCTCAGGCGGAGGATTAACCAAGTGAGCCATGGCACCAGCCCCTCATATTTATTGCTTCTTTGCTTAGTATGATGCACCATCTCAGGCCTGAAGACATGAGCATCTTATGGATACAATGCCTGACCCCAAGTCTGAACTCAAGTACTGCTTATGGAAGAAAGTAGATAAAAAGAAAGGAAATTAGATCAGTAATTTCAAAGAATGCAAATTCTATTATCAACCTGAACATGAAACAGACAACACTATCACATTTGATGTGAGCAATGGGGAAGAAAGGATAAATGTCATGCAAGGCTCCCCAGATGAACTGAAGAAACCGTTATGCTGAGATCTCAAACATACTATTGTTGAATGTAAGTGAGAAGTTTCAAGAACAAAGATGTTCTAGACATTCTAGATGTTCTCTAAGGGTATAAGGTGCTGGAATCTCTATTTTAGGACTCTGGGGTTGCATTACAGCTTGTGGGTTTATGTGAAAATGTTGGGATAGGAAGAAGTATGTTGAGAGATAAGCCTGGAGAATCTGGCAGGGGCTAGGTTCTAAAGAATCTGGAGAGAGTCTAAAAATGTGGACTTCTCAGAAGGGCAGAGAGTCATGGAAGGATTTTCAGCAGAATGCCTTTAGATTTGTCTGATATACATAAAATGAATTGGAACAATTTAGAGTTGGGGAGAGAGACAAGATAAGAAGATACTGCCATAATCCAGGTAGGACATATTGGCAATTTCAGTTTCAGAATACTCATGGTCCACATGATGATTGAAGATTATTATTAACAGTCTGAAGCTTTAAATAGAGATTCTGATGCCAGAATTAGAGAAGGAACATACATAATTGTGTACATTTGTGAACTCAACTTTTTCCCAAATAGAACAATTACAATAGAAATCACCTTCAGGGGCCGGCACTGTGGCTTAACAGGAAAAGCCACCACCTAGAGTGCCGGCATCCCATATGAGCGCCGGTTCTTATCCTGGCTGCCCACTTCCAATCCAGCTCTCTGCTATGGCCTGGGAAAGCAGTAGAAAAAGACCCAAGTCCTTGGGTCCCTGCACCCACATGGGAGACCCAGAGAAACTCCTGGCCCCTGGTTTTGGATTGGCACAGCTCTGGCCATTGCAGCCATCTGGGGAGTGAACCAGCCGATGGAAGACCTCTCTCTCTCTCTCTCTCTGCCTCTCCTTCTCTCTTTGTGTAACTCTTTCAAGTAAATAAATAAATCTTAAAATAAATTACCTTCAGCTACATAAATCTTACAAAAGATAATGTGTTCCTATTATCCAATGTCTGGTACCCAGTAAGTATTCAATAATGAAGGCTCTTATTAGATTCCCACAATAGTTATTTAAGGTAGCAGAAAGGCTATGATCAGCATCTATATTTTATAGAAGGGAAAGAGAAGTTGAAGAGAATCTGAAAGTTATAGATCCAGGAATGAAACCAAATTTTATGTTGTTCTTGCCAGGCATTCTATCTACCTCTATGTTGGAGGCTGAAGGTATAATTTTTGGTACAGACAAAAATCTGAGTTTGTGAGTATCTTAGGAACAATTGATATTAAAACTTATTTTGTAATAATGTTTTAATGGAGAATTTGAATGCAAGATACACAAAAAGCAAGCAGCAGACAGAAAGAAGACAAGGGAGCAGAAAAATCTAACTATTCAGGTCAAGCTGGGGCTTATCCTGGCTCTTTGTGTACTCAGTTCATATTTGAGCATGTTTATTCCCACTGATAACAAGTTAGGGTTCGGGTCAATGCCCCTATCCCCAGCTTACTCTCCCAATGGCCCCTACATAGGCAAAATCCCACACATGCAAGTAGTTCATCCTCATAACTGGCATGTGCTAAGCCAGTGCTGGCTGGCAGTAACAATTTCTCAGGTTTCTGGGTCATCAGCCTCTATATCCTGGGATAGATCCTGTTCAGACAGCATTAGGAAAGACACAGATAGTGTCTTCACTCTTCTAGCCACATCCTGCAAGGATGATCCTGGCTGTGCACTCAGGCCCCTATCCTCAGACTCCTTGTCTGGACTCAGTGGAGATGAAGACAGCCTTCGGTCTCTCCCAATCCATCATGGGCCCTCAGCTCAGCCCACAGCTCTCTGCACCAAGTGAGGTTAATGATTGGGCATTGAGAAAAGGGGAAACAGGGAAGGTAGACCAGAAGAAACAGAGAGCAATCAACTGGACCCAGCCCTGGCTCCATGTAGTAGACTTTATTACTCTCCCACCTGTACATCTTCACCCTTCAGTTCTGGCAGAGTTCTGTGACTTGTGTTGGCTAAGGAAGACAGAAGCAGAAGTGCTATCTGTCATTTCTCAGGAAAAGCTTCTGCAAGCCAATGCAGTTACTATGATCTCTGTTCCCTCTGCTCTCTGTTCTTTTGGTTTCAGATAGAGGTTGCGCATTCACTCAATCTGGATCGCAGGCTAAGATAGAAGTGAAATAGAACTATAGATCCAGAGATAAGCCACATGGCCAAACAGTATGACAAAGAAATCAATCTTGTGACTGTACATTGAGATTTAGGGATCATTTTTTTGCCTAAATATAACCTAAACTGTCCTAACTAGCTCACTTTTTATCTTTCTTCTCTAGCACTGGGGTGAACTACATGCTCCTTTTTTGGGTTTCCTCAGTCATCTTCCTATGTGTTGCTGCAGACTAACATGCTTCATAGCATACTATACCATGTATGTGTTTCATATATGTCCACTATCTTACAGGTTCCATGTTCCTTGATCTGTATCAATACAGTTTCTAACATGTACATCATAGTTAGAAAATGCTTGTTGAAATGAACTAAGTTGATTTATTTTGGCAATGAATGTTTTATGTTTTGACACTGTATTCTACACTTGGAGGAAATAAAGAAATATCAACACTGCCTTCATAAAGCTGTCAGGACAATAGGGGTGCTGTGGAAGATGCTGTCAGTTGGCCAACCTTACACACATCCCCAGTGACATTTTTCCTCATCTACATCCTCAGTGGAATCTGGAAAAGCAGCCAAGAATGGCCACATGATTTTGCTGCAGACAATAAAATGTAAGTGTAAAGTTGCTGTGTATTCTAGAAAATCTTTCATTTTTTTCTGAAACAAAAAAAGGGATTCAGTGTAGGTGGTACCATGCACCCCCTAGTCTTCTGGATGTGAATGTAAATAAGATACCCAGACTTGTGATGATCAACATGAGTTGATT